CTCCTGCGAGTGGCTGCTGCTGCGGGACGGCTGCCTGCGCTGCGACGCCGACGGGCTCTGCAGCCTGTGCTACCACCCGGCGCTCAACGCCATCCTGGCCGTGACCGCGCGCGGCGCCATCAAAGTCATCGACGGCACCTCGGGGGCCACGCTGCAGGCGTCGGCGCTCGGCGGTGAGCGGGGAGCGGGGAGCGGGGCCGAACAGGTGTCGAGGCGCGCCGGGGGAGCCTCGGGAAGGAACGGCCGCGCCCGGCTCGGGCCCTGGATGCCGGAGGATCCCCCCGGCTTATTGTCACCCCTTTTTCCTTTTCTGGCCTGAACGGCCTCTCTGCCCAGGGAGTTGGTGGAGTCGCCGTCCCTGGAGATGTTTAAGGAGAGATTGGCGCGGTGCTCCGTGCCGTGGTCCAGTTGACATGGTGGTGTTTGGGCATAGGCTGGACTCGGTGAATCTCAGAGGTCTCTTCCAACCAGAGCCTGTGATTCCTACTCTTCGGGGCAGAGATACTCTGTGTGTAGACATCGCCGAGGCTTTTTAGTTCTGTAAAACATATTGGCATGGTTTCTGAAAAATCTAAATGGGGGTGGAAGGCTGCGGTCTATAGGGTTGTATTTTTTAATTTTGCTTTTGCAGGTGTTGTTGTGGATCGTGTAACGTTGAACCTTCCAAAGATTAGAAGCAGCCTGTTAGGCAGGACAGGCATAGTTCTAGTTTTTATTGATATGTGATACTGTAATAATTTATTTATTGAGCCTTATTCTGTTTTTTTAAGGCTTACTGCTTAGAGGTGTCATTTGTCCTGTGACTTAAAACTATTTAAGATCAGAATCCTTTATGAAGTTATTTGGTTATATGATTTTGTATGTGTTTGAGTAGTTCTTCAGACTGTTGACTATCTTGACTGTCTCTGGTGGTAGTAACCATATCCCTGCTGCTATATTCAGGAGGCATGATTGTGTACTGACTTTGTGGAGGCTTGGACTCTAGCATCTCCATAACTATGAAGCAACTTTATTTGTTGACCGTTAGTGTTTTTGCACTGTTAATACACTAGCTCGGTAGAAAAAGATCCGTGTGCCCTTAACAGCTTTTGTTCCTTGTTTATTAATGGCTTTTAAACTGTGGCACTTGTCAGAATATTGGCGGTGGGTGCTGGGTAGGATTGTTTGTCTCCTTGGGAGTCCAGCCTTTGGAATAGAAAGATAGGCTTCTTACCAGTTGTGTGCCTCCGTGTTCAGGTTCTCCTTACAGTTGTGTATTGCTAATAAGATGTTGCTTTGCTGAGTGGTGGTGAAAGGTTGTTTGCTGCCTGAACGTGGTACAGTAATGCCAAGAAGTGCATGGGAATGCCATAGCCTAGGCAATATGTACACTTTCACCTTGAAAACCAGTAACTCTATTGCAATGTCAAACTGAAGGGAACAGGACAAAAATTGCTGATGTCCTTTCATAACTCAAAGTTGGTACATTGTACGTAAAGGTTAAGCATTTGGGGCAATTGAGGGAAAAAAAAAAAAAAAAGTTTTGTGGAATTATTAAGAAGGTGCCAGCTGCTTTTGTTGTCAGTTGCTTGTATGGAGAATGAGGTTCTTGTGTGGTGTTTCCTGCATTGTTCAGGATTCAGATCGCTCTGCTTCTGTAATTCCCTTTTACCTTGCTGTCTCCTAAAGTGCTTTTTTTACGAATAACTTTGTTTCTTTTCTTCAAGCTATTGCATTAATTTAAAAATGGCTTTTAAGTTGTGGATGAAGAGGGCATAAATAGAGGACTTAATTTGTAATTGGCTGTCTGTGTAGGAGATGTTTTATTCTCAGATACAGAAAAGGAAGTGAACTGTAAATCAAAGTGATTCTACACTTTGCTGTGATAGAATCCTTTCAAAGGATTTGACTCAGTATTCAAAATGCTAATGGCAGTTCTCCCCTAAATAGTAACTATTTGAAAATAACATATTGCTTTGCTTCTGTTACGTACATTCAATCATGTATACTTCCTTTAGTGTCAGTCTTCTCTGTGACAGCATGGCTGTAAAAGATGGGTTCTACTCCTCCTCACATAAAACAACAGAATTGCTTGCAATCTACCCAAATTTTATCTGTGCAGTAGAGCTGATGACTTTATTACTGGGGAAAAAAATGATAATCTTAGTTTAGTTTGAAGAAACTTTAGATGAATTTTCTTACAGATTCAGACTGGCATGCCTGTCAGAAATCTGGTTCATCTCAGCAGTTGGTGTCTGTTGCGGCTATTAGCAATCCTGTTCACTGTTGTTCTCTCTCTCTCTTCCTTCCGTCTTTAGGAAGAGAAGGAGAAGGGAATTTATTTGCTTTCTGATATCTGCCTGCACTTTACAGCGTGAGTTTTTTTAATGCAGGATAGTAGTAGCTGGACACTTCGACCTGTAGACCAACTCTATCCCTGCTCCCACCCCTGCCATAAATGACAGGCCAAAGGATATTGTTGCTTCAGGGACTTCTGGTACTATAACTAAAAATAGAGTCTCTAGGAATCAAAACTGCTTCTCCTGGGAGACTGCTTGTCCTCCTTGGTAATTGAGGCTGCAGGTCTTCAGCCTTGCCAAAAGATTTATGTTGGACAGAAATGTTGTTGTTTGTTACCCAAAGAAAAAAAAAAATGTAGCAGGCCTCTTTCTAGAAAGCAGAGCAAGGAAAAGATTCTCCTATGAAGGCAGGATAGGGGAGGAAAAGAAACACCACCAAGCCTCAGTGTGTTTTGTATTTGCAGTCACAGTTCACTGCGGAAATATATATTAAGCTTTGAGCTCATTCTCTGTGAAAAGATTGAACCTGTGGAATGCTGAATGTGGTAGAGCAGTGGAGGCTGCCTTCATTAGAATAGAAATGCAGATTGCTCTTCAGTGTGTAAAAGAGCAAGGCAAAAGATTCACAGCCAGAAGACAGTTCAGTTATAGATGGGGTCCAGACATTAGGATGTGGTCTGTGTGCTTTAGTTCCTCATGTGAACTTCATTGATCTAATGTATGTGGTGATCCAGAGACTGTTCTTCTGATCCCAGGCTGTAGGAATTCAGTGTGGATTATTATACCATGCTGAATCTTCAGCAGCTCTGTCTCTTGAAAGTGTAATCATCTTTAATCTGTTTCCAGCATGAGCCCTGTAGGCCTATTCAAGAGGACCAGGTGATCATTTGCAACAGCCCAGAGCGTGGTAGTGCATAAAAGTGAGGGGAAAATCAGGTAACGCTAACATTAAGCCCTGTCTTACCTGGTCACAAGGTTGTCCTTTTCTTTGTGTCAAGACTGTTGCATCCACACTGTGCATTTCAGAGAACCAGACTGGGAGTGCAAGGGAAATTCTTGTGATTTCTGAATGTTCTGCGTTTCTGTTTATTTGCTTGTAGTGGTTTGTCAGGACTGGTTTTGAATCTGTCACGCAAGTCTATCAAGTACTTTATTTTCCCCCTTAGACATTTAAATATTTCTGTGGTTTCAGTTTCAAGTTGAACATTGGTAGCCAAAAAAGCATAAATGAGCAATCTTCAAATACAGCACTAAAGATGAGCCTTTTCCTTGGCCTCAAAAGAAGCAAACCAAAACAACGAGACCAAAAAACCCTGAAGAATCTAAACAAACTTCCAGATTAGTCTTGAGTGACTCTCTTTGTGTTCATAGACGTGTTTGATTTATCAGTCCCTTCTATTTACAAATCAAGTAAGAAAACTTGTGCACTGGGAGAGTGCTGTAACTCCCAGAGGCAGGATTAAAATAAGAAACTGAAATGTACCATCAGATGGACAGTGACAATTTTGAATGTTTCAGTAGATATTTCTAGTTTAATTTGATGTAGCAGTAACTTCAGAGCCTTGTTTGCTAAAATGCAGTGTTTTGTAGCTAAGGCCTTCTAAATTGTTCTAGAGGCCCTAACAGGAATCAAAATATAGACTTCTGAATCTGTACAGGGAAGGATCTGTTCATGGTACATATATACCAGTTCCTGCAGGGGAAACAGAGTTTCTGCATTATCATCAGAGGCCCTAAAGAGCTGTTCCTCCATCAGAAGAATTTAGAAGTAAATAGATCCCAGCCCAGGAGGCTCACCTGTGCCAGCAAGTTCAACACCATTCCATATCAGAGTTCTCTTTTGGGAAGTCTTGTTTTTCTTCAGCTGTCTAACTTTAAATGATGGTGCCTTGGAAATCTCTCAAGGGGTATCCAGCTCTGTTTCTTTCTGATTCTTTTCCATGTGATGCAGAAGGCAAAACAAGAGGAAAATATTCTCTTTTGGAACTTGGAAGTCATAGAGGGAATTTGCACTTACAATAATCTTTAGGAAGAAACTGTTGAGATGCTCAGTCATCCAATTCTACACTTGGTTTATTTGAAGACACCATCAACAGTTTCACCTGTTTGAAGCTCACTGGTAAAACTGATCAAGTTCTCCTTCATTCCTCAAAATTGGGGCAGATTTCTTCCATCTTTTAGTTTCTTGTATTCTTTTCATCTTTTTGTTTCTTGTATTCTTTTGTTCCACTATGAAACAAAGATGATGATGATGATGATAATAATAATAATAATAATAATAATAATAATAATAATAATGTTGTCCCTTGCTTGTAACACAGACTTTCTCATCACATATTGATAAATCTAGTGATGTGCTACTGCCCACCATGCATTTGAGCATACTTGGGTGACTGCTAATCTAGGTGAAATACTTTTTAAAGAGATCATTTCTTTTATTTATGTGGTCTTAAGATCATTCATGAGGTCCCTTAAGCATTTGAGAAAATAGGATAGGCGAAATGTTAGATTTGATTTCAGTGTTTTATGCTAGCAAGGGCTCTAGACTGCTGTGAGCTCCATTTGTCTACTAGCTTAATCAGAGTATGTCAGATATCCCATCTAACTTACCAAGCATCTTGCCAAACTGTCAAAATGCTGTTAATTGATATTTCCAGGCTCTGTTGAAGCACATCTGGGTTATCTTCTGCAGAAGCTACAACAGAGTAAAATTAGAGATCTTTTCTTATCACGTAGCTTTAAAGGGATGTTTGCATGTCCGTGTTTCACTTAGAAGTTATAGCAGGCAGCAGTGCAGGCATATGTTATGGTGCCAGGCATGATCACACAACATTTTTTCATTTTATTGACAGATCGTTCATATCTGGACCGATGGATTCACGGCTGTCAGTGCA